GCGCGAAATGCAGGCGAGAGTGCGATTTGACCTGTTCCCGCGCAACCCTCTGCGGAGATCGTGCGCGTGGAGTGCGCGAAACGCAGGCGAGAGTGCGATTGATGCGATGCGCGCGCGGCCCTCTGCATAGATCGTGCGTGTTACTCGACACACTAGACTGAACGTCACACTTAACAACGTAAAGACACACACACAGAGACGGACTCGACACACTGAACACGTCACACTTAACAACATAGACATACATACAGAGACCCACACACGGACTCGACATACTAGACTGAACTTGTCACACTGAACAACATAGACACACACACAGAGACCGATACACGGACTCGAGACACTAGACTGAACACGTCACCCTGAACACAAAGCGCACAGTACACCTGGACGTAGCTAGACATTTTTTCGGGGAAGCGTTTCCGTAGACACAGGCGAGTCGCGAGCTGAGCAGAGAGTGAACGCTGTTCTACCGAGCTTGCGGTGGCGTGAGAGAGGTTCAGAGAGTGAAGCTACTTCGTTCACCATAATACTGGTCGCGAGCCGAACAGCGAGACTACGCTAAACATCTGCAGTGCCTGCTGTGTGTCACCTCACGCTACTTTGTCACAAGCATAGTGGTTGGTTAACTACATCCTAGAAAAGCTGTGTCCTGGAGTGAAGGAAACGTTACTTCTGATCGTATATCGATGGGCGCATCTCCTCTGACAGGTCACTGCTTCGACAAACTTGTCGCGTACCTGCCTTGGCAATTTCTGTCTTCATTCCAGCTCGTTTTTTTCAGTGAGATTTCCTGGAGGCGTGCACGCTGCTTCTCCCCTTACCAGCAGCTCAAATTCTCACGACGATGAGCTGGGCTGTCACCGCTTGGCCGCCGGTGGGGGGTTTGGGAGGCCTGCGCGCTACTTCGTTCACCATATCTACAGTGAAGACCTTCACCAGCAGCACACACAGACAGGGACTCCTACACACACATCACACACAGAGACCCGCCTCAACTTACTCGGACACACACACATACAGAGACCCAAATACACACGGACACAGATACACACACACAGAGACCCACACACTACCTCAACTCACTCGACTTAAACACTTCACACTGAACACTCTGACTTCCTACGTGATGAAAAATGCAAACCTTGTAACAACGTTCTTCTAGATTTCTGCGGGTAAGAGCTTGCATTTTCAACGTTTTCCTCAGAATTTGTGGGAAAGTGGATGTCCCATATATGTGTGTTTTCATGAAAGGAAAGCTCTTGAAAGAAAAACTTATTTATTGATATATAGCATGTTTAAATTGACCTGACTGTTTCCAGAGATCCAGAGGAAAGCTTTTGAAGTGAAAACTTTTATATATTTTTATTGTAGAAATGATCATCCCCAGAGATCTAGAGGGAAGCTCTTGAATTAGAAGCTTGTACATAAAAAAATTTTAATATGTCTGTATTATTTCCAGTGATTACGGTAAATAAATAGATCTAATTATTTACTCCAAAAAAGAGTTTAGTCGTGTTCTCAGCACTCCCAGGGAAAAAATACCGTAAAACACGGGGTTTTGTAGCTTGTTTATTTAAACGAAATAGACTAGAGCTAGAATAGAATTAGGTAGAATTACGTTGGATTTGAGTTGGAGCTAAGATAGAACTGAATTAAAACCGAATTTCAACTAAACTTGCATCGAACTATAACTATAACCTATACAAAGTTAAATGAGAGTTGAATTAGAAAGGAATTGGAATTAGAATTAGAAGTTCGCCAGAATAAGATGTAAAACGTTTGAGCTACAAGATGCACAAGTCAAGGAGGCTTCGAAACTACAAAGCCGAAGCAAAAGCAATAAGCGTTGAATTAGAACTACAGCTCACACAGATTCATAACAATTTCATGTAAATTGGAAGGCGTCATTACAGTTTCATGTCAAGCTGATTGGACATGCAATTGGCAACCACATTGATACCAATCAGAAGTTAATGCACAGGCTTGTACATGGAGATTTCGAGGACAAAGGGAGTGTTGGGCTCAGACGCTTTCATTGTAAGAGCAAAGAACATATGCCTTTGGGTGAGACTTAGGCACACATGCTTGAAGGTTGAACGAAATAGTAAGAACACAGACTGACCTAAATAGGAAAACCAAAAAACTTGAGGAAACCAATGACAACCTAGAAAAAATAACAAAAAACAAAAAACCTTGGGGAAACCAAAACAAAACAAAAAAAACAATTCTGGGGGAGTCTTGAGGAAGGGGGGGGGGCCAGCCAAGAGTCTCTGAGAATTGTTTTTGTTTTCCCAAGGTTTTTTGTTTTTGCTTAAGAGGGGTTCCAGCCAAGAGTCTCTGTGAATTGTGTGTTTTTGGTTTTTTTGGTTTTCCCAATGATTTTTGTTTTTTCTCAAGTGTTTTTGATCCTTTATGCACATGTATCAGTGTTGTTGTTGGTTTTGACTGCGCCACTGAAGCATTTACCCAATATTTAAAGAAAACCAAAACCTAGGCCCCATGGCCACCCCTTCTGCTTGTGAGACACTCGTGTAGGACACTCTTGTGGGTCACTCTTACAGGACAGTCTTGTAGGACTGTTGTAGGACACTCTTGTGGGACACTTTTGTGGGAAACTTTTGTAGGCGACTCTCTTGGGACACTCTTGTGGGACACTCTTATAGGACACTCTTGTGGGACACTCTTGTGGGACGCTCTTGTAGGACACTCTTGTGGGACACTCTTGTAGGACACTCTTGTGGGTCACTCGTACCGGACACTCTTGTGGGACACTCTTGTAGAACACTTTTGTGGGACACTCTTGTGGGACACTCTTGCAGGACAATCATACGGGACACTCTTATAGGACACTCTTGTGGGACACTCTTGTGGGTCGCTCTTGTAGGAAACTCTGGCGGGACACTCTTGTGGGACACTCATACGGGACACTCTTGTGGGAC